TTTTAAACACTGACGCGGTTTGGGGGGCCAGGCGGGGAGGGAGTCTGTAACCCTGCGGTCTGGGAGCCGAGGGCGGTGGTGGGGCCGTCGAGGGATTTTTAAATGTGAATATGGAGATCTTGGAGGAGACAGCAGGCTGGATTAAGGAGGTCTAAAAGCGGAGTGTCCGGAGCCTTCATCAAAACCTTAGGGTAGAAAAAGCAGCACGGACCCTGAAGCTTGGTAGTAATCATCGGTGAGCCCTCGCTGTGGGTCTTGGAGGGCTTTAAGACATTGGGAGCTGATAAATATGATAGCAAGGATTTTAAGACATTATTTAGGAGTTCATAGTGTTGGGAGAACCGATGGCTTTTGCCTACCATGAGAGGCTGAAGAAAAATTGAGGTTTTTACGAGTTTGAGGAAAGAAAGGGCTACAACTGCTACGTAATATTTGTGGAGGGTTTAAAAGGGATATACCTGCAGCATCTAGGCGCTTTTTTAAAATTTTGATATCGGTGTTCGAGAAATAAAAAGTGTAGTAGAAAGACTAATGGCCTTGTGAATGTTTAAAGAGTAGCAGGACAGGTGAAGGTAATTTAGTTCTGGGATTATTTTTGAGGGGCCGGAAAGAACAAGAAACTTGGCCTTTAAAATATTTTGGGTAGTGTTAGTGGTACAGGTATTAGTAAGAATCTTGAAAGAGGTCGCAGAGCTGCGGCCTTTTTTTTTGTTTGTTTTTGGCGGGGGGATAACTTTTAAGAGCTAAGGTTCTGTTGGGTGTTTATTTGGGCCGATTCTGAAATATGACAAGTCTTTGGAACAGTCTCCAAGGGGGTGGAGAAAAAAGGAAAGGATGGAGGGTAGGGGGGAAATGTTTTCACCAATTTCTTTGAAAAGAGGATAGCAGAACTGTAATGGAGAGGAAATTGTCCCTTCCTCATTACTGATTTTTTTCTTATTGGAGGCTAGGGATTTCTGCTTGAAGGGAAAGGGACCGAAGAAGAGTTGGGCACCTTTTGATTCATTAGATTGCACTGCTTTTTGTTACCTCTTTCTTTTTGTTGGTTTCTTGGGGTGGCATCTGGGAAGAGAGTCGCTGTAGTGTGTTAGCCTTGTACAGGTAGCATGGGTAAGGGAGGCAGCATTAGGGGTATTCTGAGGCTTGGAGTGGTAATTGCATTTTGAGCATGAGAAGTGTGTGAATGAATAAAGGTGCACTAAGAGCTTCTGAGTTTTGTTAGTGGTGGTCTGGTTAGTGTGAAATGACAATGACTGGACATAAGCTGCAGTTTTTAGAAGGGCACGGGCTCCTTGAATGTGCATCTTACTTTTTCAGCATTAAAATGTTTTGTTGGAGTCCAAGAATGGAAATGGACTGTGGTATGAAGGTTGGAAATAAGAAAGATTTACTGAAACTGATTGAGATTGCTGAAAAAGTCTATTTAAAATTTAGCTATCTTTATATTACCATAGATTAAAAAGTTATCTTTGTACCCCTCTTTCTGTTTCTTTCCTGTATACACTCTGATTTTTATTAGTACAGATCCCGTTAAAAGCGTTAAATGTATATTTTATGTCTTAGGTAAAATGTGACAACTTTTAATATTATAGACTTATTTATTTATTTTTAACTACCTGTTTTACTCTGGGTTTGCTGTTTTTTATTGTCAAAATTCAGTAATAGCATCTTACTAAGAGTGTTTTCATTAGGCTTTTTTGGGCTGTACTAATAAGAATAAAGATTGTGTCTTCAAATGATTTCTTGCTGGCCATGGAGGTACAAGCATGTAATCCCAGCACTGGGGTTGGGGGAAGGCTGAGGCAGGAGAATAACTATGTGTTTAAGGCCAGAGTCTAGGCTACGTAGTGAGTGCAAGGCCAGCCTGGACTACATGGTGAGACCCTATCTCAAAAAAACCAAAACAACAAAAACCCAAAAAGGTTACTTGTGTTTGTTTTTCCATGTGAGTTAATATGTTCAATTTAAGATACATAGCATACTTTTTAAAGTTACTTAAGATTTTTGGTTTGTTTGGTTTTTTGAGACAGGATCTCTGTGCTCAGGCTGTCCTGAACTCACCATGTAGCCACAGGCTGATCTCAGACTTGTGATGATCATCCTGCCTCTTCTCTATAGTGCTGGGATATCAGGTGTGAATCGCTGTGTCAGGCTTTCATTTAAGTTTTTTTTTCAGAAAATGTACGGCCTGGGCTGGGAGTGGGAGTGTACCCTAGTGGTGGAGTGCTTGCCTACAATGCCCAGGCTCAAGTTTCTCCCTTATCACAAAACAAACCCACTGAAATCATTACTTAGGCTTCACAGTGTAGATGGCTGTCCTAGAAGTACAAAATAAAAATGCTTATTTTTAATTTACATAAGTACTGGTTTTGGAAGATGTTAATAAGGAATAGAAAGTGCAAATGTCACGTACATTTTCCTTACTGGTATGTTGCCTTGGGAGATTATTTTTTCTTGATTTTTTTTTTTTTTTTTTTTTTTTTTTTTTTTTTTAAACTTGAGGGCTTGCGCTTGCGAGGCAGGTGGCGGAACCACTGAGCTAAATCCCCAGCCTAGGAGATTATGTTTTGTTTGAAGGTCTTTAAGTGATACACTACAGTGGGCAGTGTTTATAAATTTACTTTTTTTGTATTTCAAATTCAAAATTTTGAAGGGGTGAAGGGACGGCAGGGTGAAGGGGAAAAAATGGAAACCAAGACCTGTCCTTGCGCTTGCGAGGCAGGTGGCGGAACCACTGAGCTAAATCCCCAGCCTAGGAGATTATGTTTTGTTTGAAGGTCTTTAAGTGATACACTACAGTGGGCAGTGTTTATAAATTTACTTTTTTTGTATTTCAAATTCAAAATTTTGAAGGGGTGAAGGGACGGCAGGGTGAAGGGGAAAAAATGGAAACCAAGACCTGTCACGTAAAGGAACAAGATCCTAATAATGAATGTAACTGTACTGTATACCTAAAATGTACCAGTAAACTCAATGAGAAAAAAAATTCAAAATTTTGATAGCAGATTGACATGTGGTTACAACATAATGTTTCAGAGCAATTGTTAGGCTTTCAGATATTGTAAGTTGGAATGAAACTGTGGCTATGCACGTGATTTATGTTTTTTCATTTGGCCTAATTTATAATTATATAAATTGATAAAAGTTTCTCGTGTTCAGGATTTTTTTTTTTTTTTTTTTTTTTTGGTACTGGGGATTGAACTCGGGTCCTTGTGCCTGCGAGGCAGGAGGCAGATCCACTGAGCTAAATCCCCAGCCCCGTGTTCAGGGGTTTTTAAAGCATGTTACATTTTGTTACTGGTGAAACAAAAGTGTGTAACGAGGTATTTCTAAATTAATGCCGTTTACACACCACTATACCTATAGATAAGTTAGAAATGTCATGGCCCTTAAAGCTTACCTGTCACCTTCTGCTCCTTGTAGACCTGGAACATACCTATTACTGTTACTAGAGAACAGAAAAAGGAGCCTGGAAGAAATAACTAACTCCTTAGTTCCCTTAGCAGGTTGGAAAAAACCGTTTTTGTTGGCACTGTAATAAAGAAGAGGGAAACCATATCTTAGGCAATCAGTTTATGTGAGTTACTTGCAAGTGTGTAAACAGACTAACAGATCTTTTTTGGGATTTTCATCTTTCCCCATGTTCCAAATATCCTAGATATCCTCGTCAGGGGGATTATTTAGGGATTTTGCACTATTTGGAAATGTGATAGTTTCAGTTTACCAGAAACAAATGCTCATTGTAAGTATGCAGATCCCTTAAAAAGAAGGTTCTCAGTAGATCCAGGAGATAGAGGAATCACTGAAGAAATTTGTAAGTTTGGAAAAAGTTCATGTAACTTGGGAGGCTGAGACAGGAGGATTACAAGTTTAAGACCAGGTTAGGGTATTATAATGAGATCTTGTCTCAAAAAATAAAACCCCAAAATAGTTCAGACAAGTAACTGACATATTTCTACCAAACCTAGTGTATTTAATGTATGAATTTTACAGTTATTATATATATGTATATGTGTATATATATATATTTATATGTGTGTGTGTATATATCATATATATATATATATGTATGTATGTATATATATATGTATGTATATATACACATTTTTTTTTTTTTTTTTTTTTTTTT